ATGGATGGATAACTTTTTTTTTTATATACAATATAGTTGGCACTGGGCTTTTCCCCTCCCTCTCTCCCAAGTTCCTTCCCCTCCCCTCCAGATTCACAATGTATGCCCATCATGAATTTTCCGAAGGGCATCATGCTTCCACTGGAGTGTCTCTTAAAAAAAATAGCCTGGGAATAGACAATCACCAGTCATATTCTTCCCCACCATGGCTCACAGTCTCAGCACTGCCAGTAATGCTAACTGCTTTATAGTTATTTATTTATTTATTTGAAAGAACTAGATAGAGAATTATTTGCCGGTTCAGTCCCCAAATGGCTGCAACAGCCAGGACTGGGCCAGATGGAAGCCAGGAGTTAGGAACTCCATCTGGGTCTCCTATGTGGGTGGCAGGGACCAAACACTTGGGCCATCTTCTGCTGCTTTTTTGCAGGTACATAAGCAGGGAGCTGGATAGGAAGTAAGGCAGACAGGACTCAAACTGGTACCCATATGGGATGCTGGCATTGCACATGGTGGCTTAACCTATGTACCACAAAGTCAGCCCCTTTAATGCTTCATTTTTCTCATTTTGTAAGTCCCACCAGCCAGGATTTTGTTAAGCTTTGAAAAAATTCAGAGGTCAGCTCACACAATGTATGAATTTCACAGATGGGAAAATAGGGAGATCTGCCCCTAGCAAACTAACAGAGCTAATTAGCTAAATGAGCCTGGAATTCAGTGTTCATTCCACGATACCAATTTAGTGGAGACTGCAAGTTGTCCACTGAAATCTGTTCTCCCAGTCTTTTCTTGGCACATGGCTTGACTACATTTCACAGCCTGGCTGGCAGGCAGGTGTGGCCATATGACTCAGGCCTTGCCAATGGAGAGCGGGCAGACGCATGCATGCCACTGCAGGGGCGAGGCCTTCAGGCCATGGGTGCGTCTCCTCCCAGCTTGCTCTCCCTTTCCCTTTCCACCGGCTGGGACTGGCGGTGACCCAGCTTCAAGCATGCAGATGAGGCCCTGGCTCCAGAGGGAAAAGCAACAGGATTCGAGTGGCCCTGTGTCCTTGAATGACCGTTTGGTGTACAGCTGCCCCACTGACCCGGACAGCTCACTTGGAAAGGTTAACTCCCCCCGGAGCTGTGAGGTGAGAAAGAATCAAGTTCTTTGTTCTTGAAGCCACTGCCATTGTTGAATCCCTTTGCTACAGCAACTTAGCCTTTTACCCTGACACAACCACGCAGCTCGCTTTGTGTGAATTCAGAATAGCATTACAGATGACCAGTAAGCCAACATTTCAGAAAACAGCCCAAACTGCCCCAGTAGGTGATAATCAAACAATGAAGTTCCTGCCTGTGGCTACTATCCCAAGATTTCTTCATCCAGGTTAAAGGGGAGTTAATAATTGAAACAGATTTCTTATGTAGAGATACACTTTATGCACTCGTGCAATTAATATACATAAATATTTGTTTCTAGGTGCTGGGGACAGATGCAGGACACTGCATTCACAAAAGCTTGCGTGTGTGTGTGTGTGTGATGGTTTTGTTTTCAGTGTTCTGCCTTATTTTTTGTTTTCAGCAGAAAAATCCTCTTGGTAGAAGACTAAACTGAGGATAAGAATACAAATAATTACTGAGTTACAAAGGTTCAAAGCAGATACTACAGGGGAGCTTGTCTCTTGCTTAGCCCTGAAACTCAAATATAATACCATAAAGACTAGGAATTCAAGTTCTTTTCAATGTGCTGCTTATCCACTTAAAACAACAGGGCCTGGCGCAGTAGCTTGATAGATAAAGGCACTGCCTTGCATGCGCCAGGATCCCATATGGGTGCCACTTCGTTTCCCAGCTGCTCCACTTCCCTTCCAGCTCCCTGCTGTGGTTTGAGGAAGCAACAGAGGATGGCCAAAGCCTTGGGACCCTGCACCCACGTGGGAGACCCAGAAGAAGCTCCCGGCTTCAGATCAGCTCAGCTCTGGCCATTGCGGCTGCTTGGGGAGTGAACCAGTGGGTAGAAGATCTTTCTCTTAGTCTCCCCTTCTCTCTGTAAATCTGCCTTTCTAATAAGAAGTGAAAAAAACGTGGGGTGGGGGGAATCGAAATGAGCAAAGTATGCAACACATGATCAAGATTACTGCTAATAGAGGTAGATGAACTTCACAGCATGCCAAGTGCTAGGATTCCCTACATTACTTACCCAAGCCATTTACACAGCACTGCTGGTGACAGAGTTAAAGCGCTGGGTACCTGGACTGAAGTGCTCTGCTCGCCTGGAGATCAGTTAAGGCCAGATGCTCTGAGACAGGTGCTCCTTACCCTTACTCAAGGCTGACTGATAGCCCAGGGCAGCCTGCAAAGAGATCTGGTAGCGTGACAGCTGACCTGAGGTTTGTCCCGAGGAGTTTGTCAAAACTTGTTCTGTGACTGGGAACCATGTTTTTGAGCCTGTTTCCCCACATGCACAAGAAGCCCCAAAGATGGTCCCATCTGCATGCTTAGGACAATGACAAGGCAGAGCTGGTGCCCCTCTTTATATGTAACTGCAAAGTCAGAGAAGGGAAATAGAGCAGGATGGCAGGCAGGTGCCTAGTGGCTGTTCTCACCATCCTGGGCTCTTGCCTGCTGGTGAAGGAATCCCACCTTGCCAGAGCTGATTCCTAAAAACGGGCAATGACCTGCCCACAGGGCCTTGAATTTAGTATGCACTTCAAAGATACAAATCACTACGATTTTTTTTATGTTTATTAAAAAAAAAAAATTCCTCCCTTCCATGTCATAAAGATTGCAGCGATTCCCATGAGAAGTTGTTGCTCCAGGTATTTCAGATGGAAGGATTATAGACTTTCTGAGGTAGGATTACTACAACTCGTTTTTCCTGCCTGTCCACTGAAATCTCTTTTATGCTTTAATCTATATTTAGCAATTTGAATGAAGAATATTTCAGAAAGACTAAGGTTCGTCCTCTAAAAACAGCCTGTCGAGCACAGTGCTGAAGAGCTCAGATCCACTGGCCTCCCCTCAGTTCGAGCCCTGCCACCTGCTGAGCCTTGGTTTCCCCATTTGGCTAATAGCTCAATGGCAACAGCACCTCTCTCCCAGGGCTGTGTGGCGAAGCACCTGGCAATGCTTAGCGCTTTGCAAATATCTATCTCCATTCCTCGTGGGGAAATTAGGCCTCCCACCATTAGCTCTCAGAGACTGAACAGGGAAAATTATACCACACAGGGAACAAGATGGACTAGATACAAGCGGTTTCTTTGACCAAAACACAACTTTATTCCTGAGTCCAATCAGCCCAAGGCTGGGAAGGCTCTGCAATTTCATGATTTTAAAAGGTGAATTAAGGTAGTTCTTTCACTGCTGCCTCCATTCAACATGCAGCACCTGGGAACCAGTTTTTTCAGGGCCAACAGAAATGTTCTCTCGGGCCCAGTGCAATAGCGTAATGGTTAAGGTCCTCTCCTTGAACGCACTGGGATCCAATATGGGCGCCGGTTCTAATCCCAGTAGCTCCACTTCCCATCCAGCTCCCTGCTTGTGGTCTGGGAAAGCAGTTGAGGACGGCCCAAAACCTTGGAACCCTGCACCCGCATGAGAGACCTGAAGAGGTTCCTGGCTCCTGGCTTCAGATTGGCACAGCACCGGCCATTATGGCCACTTGGGGAGTGAATCATCAGACGGAAGATCTTCCTCTCTCCTCTCTGTACATCTGCCTTTCCAATTTGAAAAAAAAAAAAAGTTCTCTGTTCCATGATTCCCTTCCTCTCCCCTCTACAACAAAATGCTACATAACTCTTTTAAAATACCATTCTACCTGGCTTTAAGCTACCGCTTGTGACACTGGCATCCCACAGGGACACTAGTTTAAGTCCCAACTGCTCCACTTCCAGTCCAGCTCCCTGATTATGTACCTGGGAAAGCAGTGGAAGATAGCTGGAACAACTGAGCTCTCGTTACCTGGGTGGGAGACCCAGATGACATTCCAGGTTCCTGGTTTCCACCTGGCCTGCCCTGGCTGTATGGCCATCTGGGAAGCGACCAGCAGACATGACCACTCTCTCCATGCTTCCATCTGGCCCAGCCCTGGCTGTTGTGGTTATCTGGGGAGTGAACCAGCAGATGGAAGTGCTCTCACTCTAACTCTTCCTTTCGAATAAATAAATCCTTAAAGTATTTATTATTATTAAGGATTTATTTATTTATTTTTGGAAAGGTAGATTTACAGAGAGAAGAAGAGACAGGAACATCTTCTATCCCATTTCACTTTGCAAGCGGCCACAAAGGCCAGTGCTGAGCCAATCTGAAGCCAGAAGCCAGGAGCCTCTTCCAGGTCTCCCACACGGGTGCAGGGTCCTAGGGCTTTGGGCCATCCTGCGATTTCCCAGGCCACAAGCAGGGAGCTGGATGGAAAGTGCAGCAGCCAGAACACGAACCAGTGCCCATGTGGGATGCTGATGCTTGCCAGTAGAGAATTAGCCAATTGAGCTATTATACCAACCCCTCGTTTATTTATTATTTATGAAACAGAGACACAGCTATAGACAGAGATGTTCCATCCATTGTTCTCTATCCAAACATTCAAAGTAGCCAGGGCTAAGTTGGTCCTAACCTAGAATGCTAGAATTCAATCTGGGTCTCCCAGGCAAGTGGCATAATCAGGAAGCATTATCTGCCGCCCCCTCCCCCGAATGTGAAAGCTGCCCTGGGGTTCCAACCAGGCACTCTGATACAATGTGGACATCCCAGGCAGAAACTGAACCGCTGCACCCAAAGCTTGCCCCTACACAACTGCTACGACCTTCAGTACTCTTACCTAGGCTGGTTGTGTTTCCATAAGAAGTTTGTGAGCCCCAAGAACGCAAGAAGCACAGCTCCGTATCTAAGCCTCTTGCTTAGTTCGGGATCTCATGCAGCAAATTCTGAACAAATAGAACATATTTGAGTGGGAAATTCTTACACAAGTACCGAGTTCCTGTTTACAGTGATGAAAAGGTTTTGGAAACAGTGGTCATGACTTATACAGTTTTGTGAATTTAATCAATGCTGTGAATTACACATTCAGAAATGCTCAAACTCATGTTATATAAATAGATATGTACTTAAAAGTACCAGCAGTTCTGGTCATTCCAGAAAAGACACTTCAATAAGAAATAACAAATCTTGAAAAAGAGCTTGTCTGGATGGAAGCCTTCCAGGAACTAACTGCCCAATAAACACCTACTACAGGAATAAAGATATCTATGAAGAAGGTCAGGCTGCCTGAAAAACTATCATTTTAATAACATACTGTACATTGACCGACTATTAACATTTCTATCTTTTTAAGGCTCAAGAAGGCTCCTGCAGGTTTTTTTCTTTCACTTTGTGTAAGAATATGTATTTGTAAATCAACAGAAAGATACCAGTGATAGTAATTATCACATAAGAGCAGCTCAAGAAATTTTAGTCCTCCTGGTTTAAGTCCCAAGTCCCAGCCACTTCGGATTCCTTCCTGCAATTCCAAGACCTGGCTCTGTTCACTTGATCACCTTGCTGGAGCTGGTCCTTTCCTGCCATTCATTTAAACCCAGACCTCCTGATTTGCAGCTCACAATACTTCAGTTATCTACAAAAAGCATCTGGAAATGAGGTATTTTTAGCTGGCATCAGGGGAAAAAAAATTCTTTTAAAGGATATAGTGAATCCTGGCATTCACCATTTAAAAGATCGGCAAGTATAAAAATGTGCAATCTGTGCCTCTTTTTAAACCTTTAAGGTTTAAAGGAAAAAAATCCCTTCTGGAACCACAGCGCTGCCAGACACACCAGCCACACAGGCAGCTCACGAGTCCTGCTGATCCCGTTTCAGAGAACACGAAACTTCACAACACCAACCAAAATAAAATGGTAGGAGCCTCAGTGCATAGCACTTCTCAGCCCCCGACGGCAGACACACTGCTTCCCCTTGCCTCGGCTACCGGGCGCATCTCTCAGGAGCTGGATACCAGCTCTGGACCATTCTGCCTTGGACATCCCTCCTCTTTAAGTTCTTTGTTACAGTCTTGGGAAACACTTTGACATTCACTCGTGTTGACAGCTTGTGCATCCAATCTTCTTTTCTTCACTTGATGCAAGTGGGATTTGGATTTTATATGAGCTGATAAGACAAAAATCAAGTCAAACAAAAGACTCATTAGGATTTTCTAAGATTAATACTGAAAGCAAATACAATTAACTACACAATCATTTTCTTTGACAATAAATAATAGTGTCAACATGGTACTGGCACTGTTGGTTAGTTATGTTAAAGGAAGAACATGCGATAAGACCGGCTAGCTAGCAAACTAGTGTAGACTGCTGTTATCAAGGGGCTTTGTGCTCCTTTTACATTCCTCTAAGTTTAGAGAGGTCTACGCCATGTGCTGAGGGTCATACAGCAGGTAAACTCCTTTGCTTTGATCTACAATACAGCTCCTTAAAAGAGATCCTACTTGGCTGGTGCTGTGGCATAGTAACCTAAACCTCTACTCATGGCACTGGCATCCCATATGGGCACTTGTTTGTGCCCTGGCTGCTCCACACTTTCAATCCAGTTCCCTGCTTATGGCATGGGAAAACAACAGAGAATGACTTAAGTCCTTCCATGGAGAAGACCTGGAAGAAGCTTGTAGCTTGAAACTGGCTCAGTTAATGCTTCTGTGGCCCATCTGGGAAGTGAACCAGTGAACTGAAGACCTCCTTCTCTTTGTAATCCTATCTTTTTTTTTTTTTAAAGATTTATTTTTATTATTTTTTCATTGGAAAGGCGGATATACAGAGAGGAGAGACAGAGAGGAAGATCTTCCGTCCGATGATTCACTCCCCAAGTGAGCGCAACGGGCCGATACCATGCCGATCCGAAGCCAGGAGCCTCTTCCGGGTCTCCCACGCGGGTGCAGGTTCCCAAAGCTTTGGGCTGTCCTCGACTGCTTTCCCAGGCCACAGGCAGGGAGCTGGAAGGGAAGCGGGGCTGCCGGGATTAGAACCGGCGCCCATATGGGATCCCGGGCGTGCAAGGCGAGAACCTTTAACCACTTGCGCCACCGCGCCGGGCCCTGTAATCCTATCTTTTAAACAAAAGTTCTTTAAAAAAATAAACCTTTAAAAAAAAGAGACCCCACTTTCCAGAATCAGGTCTCTGTTTCAGGTACATTTCAAAGGGTAAAGCTACAAAGCTGGAAATTTAAATCCTATTTCTACTGCAGGACAGGTGGCATGTCGTGCCTCACCTTGCAGTGTCTAGCACTACAGAGATGCCAGGAACAAAGCTGCTTTGCCTCTCCCTCCCTCATCTCCCAGGTGGTCCTGTCCCGTGTCCTTGAAACCTCTTGAAGGACTGACCCATGAGACTCTCATTCTCCAAGCACACACTGCTGAACAGAATCAGGAGCATCTGCATCTGAAGACCTCTGCCGAGGCCCACACAAGCCAGAAAGTGGAAAGGTCACTGACAGCGAGTCAGACAGCAAGTGCCCTCCTCGCATCCCCAGGCAGCCCCACCATCTGACTGACTCAGAGCAGCTCGTTTCTACCATCCTGTTCTTTGCAACGCAATCCTGTCTGGGAATGCTTGAACAGATACACGACTAGACTGAACTATCCTTTATAAGTATCTAAAGTGTCACTCCTTCAGGGGTTAGAAACAAAAGATGGTATGGAAGAGGTTAGAAGTCAAAGACCAGGGGAGAAAAATCAGCTTTGTTCTCCAGCTAGCGCCTAAGGCGAGCACGGGGCTCCAGCCTGGCTCACCCTGGCAGCAGGCGAGGGAGCAAGGACTGGACAGATGGCACTATAGAAGCGCTCACACAGGCTAAGCGCACAACGGCCCCCACAGGCTGCTGCTCGGAGGCCCTCCTTGAAGCACATTCAGGCAATCGAAGCACTAAGTTTCCTTCAGAAAACACAATCAGACACTCTTTCTCGTCCCCTTTCATCATTATAAGCTAGCGACAATCGAGGCTTCTTCTGCTAGCTGGGCGATCACAGCCGTCCCCGGGCTGACAATGGAGTTCATTTTGCCAGAGCTCCCAGTTAATAGACCTAATCATTCCACTGGTTGGTATGGGGAGAAAAATCGACTTCTCTGAGAATCCCATGCAAAGAAGAACTCTGAACAGGATTCCAGCCACTGAGTAAATTATAAACCCTACTGTGCCTAAAATGAGTGACTCTCGCATGTGTTTCTAAATATGACATAAATCCACGGCTCAGGGAAGAAGCCTTTGGGATTTGACTGGGCAATGGCAGAAATCAGACAGCGGAGTGCAGTGCAACTGCGACAGGGGCAGAGCCAGGTCCTAGAGTAGCCACACGAAACCTCAGCATAGGGCGGGGAGCAGAGTGATGGGGCACCCCCTCAATACACATGTCCAATAGACTCTCACAGTCTGCGTTAATGTCCTTCCATCACAGCTTGAGCAACTATCACTACCTCAACCTCCTAGCTTAAAACTTCCTGGAAGAGACACTATTTCTTTTTCTTTTTTTAAGATTTATTTATTTTTATTACAAAGTCAGATATAAAGAGAGCAAGAGAGACAGAGAGGAAGATATTCTGTTGGGGAGTGATGATTAACTCCCCGAGTGACCACAATGGCCGGTGTTGTGCCGATCCGAAGCCAGGAGCCAGGAGCCAGGAACTTCCTCCAGGTCTCCCACACAGGTGCGGAATCCCAAAGCTTTGGGCCATCCTCAACTGCTTGAGGGAGCTGGATGGGAAGCGGAGCTGCTGGCATTAGAATCAGCGCCCACAGGGATCCTGGAATGTTCAAGGCGAGGACTTAAGCCACTAGGCCAACACGCCAGGTCCAAGAGACACTGCTTCTGAAGGCCAAACCCATGAGTGTTTGCACTCCTTCTTGCTTCCCTCCCCACTTCTCCGGGATGAACCACCTGGTTTTCCTCCCAAGCCTGTCTTACCCCCACTGAGGCGCAAACACGAAAGGCCAAAATCATGAAGTCAGAGAGTGCTGAAGCTAGAGGGCATATGATCTTCCTTCAAATTTCAGAACAGACAACTCTCCAACAGTTCGAGAAAGCTTCCAAGAAATTTCATGCACAGACTCTTAGAAGAATCTGACTGCCCCTTTACACATAAGCATTCGGCCTTTCAGAATCTTAAAATTTCAGGAAGTCAATGTGACTTCCACACAGCTTTCATCACATACTACCTGCCCATTCGCGGTCCCCAATGATGATCCGATCACAGAAGTTGCACATGTGATAGCTCCTCTTATTCTCAGTTTCATTGTATGGCATCTTTACTGGAGTGGCAGCAGGTGTGTGGCCCTAAAAGAACAACAAGTGGAGGGAAGCATTTGATTGACCAAGATTTGGGTATACTTTTCTGATATGCAGAGGAGTGGGACCTTCCCAGAATTCCTTTTAATCATCCTACAGAGCAGGTGGGTTGTGAACAGATTTTAGCAACAACCTTTTAAAATGCAGAAATGCAGCTGCCAGGGATCTAAAAGCAGCCAGACCTTCTGCTTTACTCTACAGAAAGGAAGGCTTTGTTTCCCCACATAGCAACAAAGGTGTCAGCTAAGGAAAGTGCTATGAAAATCAGACCACAGACTGTACTATGATTGATAATCACCTGGATGAAACTTTGCACAATTTCAAGAGCAGGTTCCAGAACAGACTCTTCCCATTTGGAGACGTCAGATACCTCTAAGCCATATACTGGAGGCACACTAGGACCAGGTCCTAATGATGACAAAGAAACATTGTGAGAGGTCAACTTCCCAAACACAATCTATTCTGCTTCTGAGATTTCAAACTCCTCGAGGGAAACACACAGGACCCAGGGAATAAACATCCCAACCATGCTAGTCATTCTAACCAAAAACATAAACTACAATCCAAGAAAGATCTAGTGAGTAACCAGTAAACCCAACGGTGTAATCTAGATTCAAGTGCAATATCTTTCAGATCAACCAGCACACCAGAATAGAGTAATGACAGCTTGAGTGACCACTGTTTGGGCTACAACTTGCAGGTAATACATCACAGGAGGAAAAGCATTGCTAGAAGTATGTGTTCTAGGTTACATCTTAGAGCAACGGCACGCTGTGACCAGAGATCTACCAACTTTATTTAAGAGTAGTCCAGTCTCAGATTTGCATCCCTACTCTGAAAACACAAAACCCAAAATGCCCCCAAATTTTGGAAATGCTCCAAAATTTGAAACAATTTGAGCAATGATGTGAAATCACTAGTGGAAAAAACTTTCAACTGATCTCACGTGATACGTCACAGTTTAAACTGTAGGTTTAGGAGCTGATGTGGTGGCACACTGAATTTGACTGCCTTCTGCAACATTTGCAATCCAATTGAAATCCTAACTGCTCCAGTTCCAATCCAGGTCCCTGCTACTGAGCCTGCGAAGGAAGGTGAAGATGGCACAAATGCTTGGAGCACTGGTATCCATGTGAGAGATATGGGTAAAGTTCCTGGTTCCTGGCTTCAGCCTGGCCCAGTCCTGGCCAATGCAGGCTCTGTCTTTCCCTCTGTTTTGCTTCTAACTGCCTTTCTAATAAATAAATAAAATGCAGATGCATCAAAAAGACTGTGTAAAACTTCTCTTTGAGCTATGTATATAAGATCATGTCTATTACATAAATGAATGTTTATGAAGACTTGGGCTTAGACTTGGGTCACATCCCTAAGAAATCTAATTATGTACACACAGTATTCCAAGATTTAAAAAAGTCAAAAAATTTTCTGCTCTGAGACATTTAAGGTAAAGGAGACTAAGGATGCACCCCTTCAGTTCCCTGGCATTCACAAAAGACCTCAATACATCCCAAAAATCACAGGCTGGGAACAACAGTACCAAAGAGATGGTGGAGATGACAGGACAGAAACCCTTCTTTTAAGAACCTGATCTACAGCAGCACCTAAGAAGCACCCTGTAGTCATCACTTCTGAATGAGCCTGGATATAGCAAAACACTTTATACCTTTTCAATCACCGATACCAAGAGCTCAGCCTCTCCTGGTAGCTGTCGCAGCCTACAGACACTCCATTGCCTTCATGGCTAGGTTAAGTCAGTTGCTTAAAGGCAAAGAGCATCGCCCCATGGACAAAGCATCAAAGGCATTGGGATGCCAACGGCTGGCAGGTGCTGGCCTTTGGATTGTGCCAACCACAAATAAGATTCTTCATAGGCTGGACTGGGCTGCATCTGCCACCGCACGGAAAGGTGAGACCAGGAGGGTGCAGGCGGCATCCACAGCACACCTGGCCTTGGCTAAGCTCTGCACCTGTTTCCAGGCCACTCTACATTTTCCTTTCTCCTCTAAGCCCTTTGTTGGGCTTCTGTGCCCTGTCTAAGCACCTTTCAACAAGTTCTCGGCTCCCAGCTGCTATTTCTGGCTAGAATCCAAGGCCAAGCCGGGGTGGGGAAGTCCCTCTGGCCCCTTGCCAGAGCCATATCCCAGTAGACCAGCCCTGACCAATCACATGCGTCTCCTGATTTACAGGGCAGCTGTGCCTTTCACTCTAGCACCAGGACTGTGCCGGCAGACACCCGAGTGAGGAATAGGACTCTGACACACTGTGCCATGGACAACTACCCCCACCACCAGGCTCAGACATGGGGGAAGTTTATGTGGCTTGACCACAATAGAAAACTTCCAAATTATTACAAAAAAGTCTTTTGTTAGACTTTTGTGTGAGAGAGACTTGGGGAGAAGAGAAGCTGCATTAGAAATCTGTAGTATTGAACTTCAACTTCAGCTGCTACTCAGACTTTTCTCTAACAGGACATGCAAGGAAAGAAGGCTTCGAAAAAAAAAAAAGTATAAAGAGCCTCTTGGCACCAGAACCAGTGGGGAACTCAGATAGAGGGGGGACAGGGGACAACCAGGACAGCCGTCAGTGGTGGCACGGCAGACCAGAGCATAAAGCAGGCAGTGAGGAACAGGGGAAGGCTTCAGCTGGCCTTGTCCATAACTGAAAGCAGAAGTCTACTGGCAAAAGGTAAACACGGGATGATTCAGAGGCACATTTACAATGCATTCATGAGATAAAATTGAAGTTTCATTTAAACTCATCTTCTATTAGCTCATAACTATCCAATAAGTACAATTTTTTTTAAAAAGATCCATTTTTATTGGAAAGGCAGATATACAGAGAGGAAGAAGAGAGACAAAGAGGAAGATCTTTTGTCCAATGATTCGATCCTCAAGTGGCCACAACAGCCAGAGCTGAGCTAATCTGAAGCCAGGAGCCTCCTCCAGGTCTCCCACACGGGTGCAGGGTCCCAAGGCTTTGGGCTGTCCTCGACTGCTTTCCCAGGCCACAAGCAGGGAGCTGGATTAGAACCAGCGCCCATAGGGGATCCTGGAGTGTTCAAGGTGAGGACTTTAGCCACTAGGCCACCTCTCTGGGCCCCAATAAATACAATTTCTTATCCAATGCGAATAGTAATGGTGGTTAGCTGATGTTACAGTTAAAGAAACAGAAAGGGCAGCATAAAGCAAAGAGTGCAGACTCTGGAGCCAGCCTTCACTCCTTCTTCCTGACTACTAGCTAGGGTCTGGGGGCAAGTCACTGAGCTTCTCTAGGTCTTCACTCTCTCTTTTTTTTTTATTGGTAATTAACATTGTATTATGCGATACAGTTTTATAGGTACTGGGATTCCCCCACCCCTCCCGCAACCCTCTCCCCATGGTGGATTCCTCCACCTTGTTGTGTAACCACAGTTCAAGTTCAGTTGAGATTCCTTCATTGCAAGCATATACCAGACATAGAGTCTAGCATCTTATTGTCCAGATGAGTTCAACAGCTTCTTGGGGAGACCTTCTCTGGTCTGAAGGTAGCGCCAACAGAGTAAAATCCCGATCAATTACTTCACTCTCTTATCCAAAAGGAAATAACACCTACCTTAAAGACTCAATAAAAAGTCTATATAGTGTGTGTGTGTGTGGGGGGGCGGCAAATAGCACACCCTATGGAATTGTACCATAAAATTCAAAATAAAAAAGAGAATAAAATGCCCCCCCCAATTTATAAGTATATAGTAAGTATATAGTACCAAAGTCAGTGCCAAAGACAGCACAGGTCAGTGAATGAGAAGTTCCTTCCACTTCTTAATGAAACTTTGACTTCAAGCAAAATGAAGCACCATGCATTGGAGATGCTGGGAGAAGCAGTGCAGGTATCACGTGACCCTGAAACCATCTGAACTAGGAAAGCATCCTGACAGAAATCTAACTCCTCTTCAGATATAAGCCTAAATCAGCAGGGGCCAGAACCAAGGTTCAGAGGGTTAAGTTATCACCTATGATGCTGTCATCCCATATTAGAGTGCTAGTTTGAGTCCTAACTGCTCCATTTCTGATCTACTTCCCTGAAAATGTGCCTGGGAAAGCAATGGAAGACAGCACGGTTCCTGGGTCTTTGCCAATCCAGTGGGGAGACCTGGGTGGAGCTCAGCCCTGGCTGTTGTAGCCATTTGGGGGGTGAACCAAAGCTTGGAATATCTAGGCCTGCACCCCTTACAAATAAATAAATAAATCTTAAAAAAAAAAGACCAAAAAAAACAAAACAAAACAAAAACAAACAAAAACAAACAAAAAAACCAGTGGCGCTCAAGTCAGCCTGAAACACCACTCTGCTAAAAAACTGCTGTGGGCCAGGCACAGTAGCCTAATTACTAAAGTCCTTGCCTTAAATGCTCCAGGATCCCATAAGGGCACCGGTTCTAATCCAGCTCCCTGATTGTGGCCTGGGAAAGCAGTCGAGGACGGCCCAAGGCCTTGGGACCCTGCACCCACATGGGAGAAACAAAAGAGGATCCAGGCTCCTGGCTTCAGATCAGGTGCAGCTCTGGCTGTTGCTGTCACTTGGGGAGTGAATTATCAGATAGAAGATCTTCCTGTCTCTCCTCTCCAATTAAAAAAGAAGAAAATGAAACTTGTGCATCCATCTTGCTTGTCTGCAGCCAGTATCCATCCGGTCAAGCAGTAAGACTCAATGAAAACTCAATGGTTTTCACCTGAAGAAGATCCTTCCCTATGCAGATCTAAAATCTGAGAAATGGCTCAGAAACCAAAGTTCATTTTCTGGGTTGGCCAAGGACTTTAGTCTAATGAAAACAAACCTGAGAATAGCAGGAAAAATGAAACTTACTGCTCAAAAAGCGGTTTCTAATCCACCGGATTTGTTTCCGAGCATATCGCTTAGTTACTTGTTTCAGAGCCTCAACACCTGAAAGATACAGCAGTGGTAAGAACAATCACTTCTAACTCTGCCAAAAGGGCAGGCCCTCCCAGCCCAGAAGAGAGAGTCAGTACATGTTAGACTTGTTGGATGAAAATGTCGATTCCGAGCTGATGGCCACTTGGAACTCTTCTGGCCTCAGCCCTTTCTCAGACCACACCAGCAGGGTCCTCTGACACCCAAGGAGATCCAAGACTAGGTACGATGGAGGAATTCACACCTTTCTTTAGAAGCTGGTTACTTGTCTCAGGTGTGCACTTTCCCTCAGTGATCAGGTACTCGTGGAACTCCTTGAAGCCAATCGACTGGAAGATACCGTGTTGGTAGTCCTGGCTGGGAACAGGAGAGCATCCGCAGATGAGCCATTGCTGCTGAAAGCTGACAGGGTCCTGGAGGGGATCTAGTCAAGCCGTTCCAGGTCACAGATGAGAAAACTGAAAGCCTGGCTTTCAGTTACTGACTTTGAAATTCTCTCCCTTCCAGCTCCTAGGTGGCTTCCTTAAAAAGTGACTGCTTGGGAGATCAGAAAACTACAATTGCAGTAAGTACATCAAACCTCCTTCCCCAAGCCTTGCCAATCCCTAGGACAAATGTTCATGAACAAGTAGACGTGAAACTAACCACGGGCAGGGGATGCAGGGCATGGGAACAGTCAAAGCCTCACCTATTTTCTGAAACAAACTTCTGGTTATAGCGCCTGTGAAAATCTCTTAGTTCTTCCAAGAGGCCGGCAGCAAGCATGTCGTCCACTCTCTTATCCAAGCGCTCATCGAGAACTGGAATTAAATCAGTTCATCAACCAACAAATTGTGGGTACTGCATATACTTCATGGTGAACCAATAGACTGCCACAAACAGAATTTATTCAACCGGAAGAAAGGATTCAGATTTCACAAGACTGAATAACAATTCATAGTATATTTATTCACACTAAGATTGTAAACTCCAAATAAAAACAGCCAGAATTAAGCACAGACATGAAGAAAGAACTTACAATTACAGCTATTATGAAGGAGAAATATTTTATTCTTGTAGGGTCTATATGATCATTGCTTTTTCAGGTCTACCATACCTAACTTTGGACATTAAATTTTTTTTAAAGATATATTTATTTTGGGCCCAGTGTGGTAGCCTAGCGGCTAAAGTCCTTGCCTTATAAGCGCCAGGATTCCATATGGGCGCCTGTTCATGTCCCAGCTGCTCCACTTCCCATTCAGCTCCCTGCTTGTGGCCTGGGAAAGCAGTCGAGGACTGCCCAAGGCTTTGGGACCCTGTATCTGTGTGGGAGACCCGGAAGAAGCTCCTGGCTTCAGATTGGCTTAGCTCTGGCCATTGTGGTCACTTGGGGAGTGAACCATCAGACAGAAGATATTTCTCTCTGTCTCCTCCTCTCTGTATATCTAATTTTCCAATAAACATAAATAAATCTTAAAACAAACAAAAAAAAGAAGATACATCTATTTTTATTGGAAAGGCAGGTTAGATTTATGGAGAGAAGACAGAGAGAATGATCTTCCATGCACTGATTCACTCCCCACATGGCTGCAAAGTTGGAGCTGAGCCCATTGGGAACCAGGAACCAGCAGCTTCCTCAGTCTCCCATATGGTTGCAATATCCCAAGGCTTTGAGTCATTCTCTACTACCTTCTCAGGCCATACACAAGGATCTGGATGGAATGTGGAGCAGCCAGGATATAAACCAGTGCCCATATGGGATTCTGGTGCATGCAGGGTGAGGATTTACCCACTGAACCGTCTCACCAGTCCTTGGTCATTACATTTGTTACCCTTTGTGTAATTTTCTATTTTAAGAACCTCTTCCATGGATAGGAATGAGGAATTTTAATCTAAAGCCATCCTAGGTGTACTTTCACCTATGAAACCAAGCAGAACAGTGAATAATAATGAGGTCAGGATGGGTGTTTGCTACAACATTCAGACCTGTCCTTCAGATGCCTCCATCCTACCTCAGAGTGCCTGGTGTGAGTCCCAGATCCTCCACTTCCAGGCCAGCTTCCTGCTGAGGGACAACAGATGAAGGTTCAAGCACTCGGCTCCCTATCACTCACATGGAATGTTTGTTTTGGGTTCCAGACTTCAGGCTTTGGCTTGGTCCAGCTCTAGCTTCTATATGCATTTGAGAGTGAACTAGTAGATTAAAGATCTCTCTTTCTACCCTTGCAAATAAAATGAAAGTATAAGTCAAATCAAAACAAAAACTTTAATACAGCTACAGACAATAAAAAAAAGAGCTTAAAATGAGATGCTCAGCCTCAGTCTGTATTTTTTTTTTTTTAAGATTTAGTGGCTAAAGTCCTGGCCTTGAATACACTGGAATCCCATATGGGTGCTGGTTCTAGTCCCGGCAGCTCCACTTCCCATCCAGATCCTTGGCTTGTGGCCTGGGAAAGCAGTCGAGGACGGCCCAAAGCCTTGGGACCCTGCACCCACGAGGAAGACCTGGAAGAGGTTCCTGGTTCCTGGCTTCAGATTGATTCAGCTCCAGCCATTGCGGTCACTTGGGGGTGAACCATCGGACAGAAGACCTTCCTCTCTGTCTCTCCTCCTCTCTGCATATCTGACTTTGCAGTAAAAATAAACAAATATTAAAAAAAAAAAAGATTTGTTTATTTAAAAGGAATAGCAAGAGAAAGAGAGATCTTCCATCTAGCTGGTTCACTTTCCAAATGGCCAACAGAGCCAACTAGATCTAGCCACTGTCAGGTATCTGAAACTCCTTAAAAGTAAGTCTGGCTGGGCCCGGCGCGGTGGCGCAAGTGGTTAAAGGTCCTCGCCTTGCACGCCCGGGATCCCATATGGGCGCCGGTTCTAATCCCGGCAGCCCCGCTTCCCTTCCAGCTCCCTGCCTGTGGCCTGGGAAAGCAGTCGAGGTCCCAAAGCTTTGGGAACCTGCACCCGCGTGGGAGACCCGGAAGAGGCTCCTGGCTTCAGATCGGCATAGTATCGGCCTGTTGCGCTCACTTTGGGAGTGAATCATCGGACGGAAGATCTTCCTCTCTGTCTCTCCTCTCTGTATATCCGCCTTTCCAATGAAAAAATAATAAAAATAAATCTTTAAAAAAAAAAAAAAAGTAAGTCTGGCACCACGGCTCAGCCTGTTAATTTCTGCCTGGAGTGCCAGTATCCCACATGGGAGTCAGATTGAGTTCCAGGTGCTCCACTTTCCATCCAACTCCTCTACTCTTGGTTGACTAACCCTGTGGAAAAACCACCCTTCCTCCCTTTTCAGACAAATACTTGCAGGAATGGCAATGTGCCTTAGTCAATGACCAAGGCATCATAATAAAATTAACACTTCTTTATTGTTTAGTGAGCCACCTATAATCCTAAACATTTCATATATAAAGAATACTTCAAAATTTTTGTTTAAAAAAAAAAAAGAAAGAAAGAAAACCTCAAGCCCAGTGCAACAGCTCAGTAAATCCTTGCCTTCCATGCACTGGGATCCCATATGGGTGCCAGTTTCATGTCCCAGATTATCCACTTCCCATCCAGGTTCCTGCTTGTGGACTGGAAAAGCAGAAGAGGATAGCACAGGGACCTGGGACCTTGCACCCAAGTGGGAGACTCAGAAAGAAGCCCGTGGCTCCAGGTTTCAGATGGTTCAGCTCCAGCCATTGCAGCCACTTGAGGAATGAACCAGCAGATGGAATACCTTTCTCTCTAACTCTCCTTCTTTCTGTAAATCTGCCTTTTCAATAAAAATAAATAATTCAGGCCCGGTGTGGTAGTCTAGTGGCTAAAATTCTCACCTTGCATGCACTGGGATCCCATATCGGTGCCAGTTCATATCCCGGTTGCTCTACTTTCCATCCAGCTCCCTGCTTGTAGACTAGGAAAGCAGTAGAGGACGTCTCAAAGCCTTAGGTTTCTGCTCTCCCCAAGTGGCCACAATGGCCAGAGCTAAGCTGGTCCAAAGCCAACAGCCAGGAGCTTCTTTCAGGTCTCCCACATGGGTGCTGGGTCCCAAGGCTTTGGGGCATCCTTAAGTGTTTTTCCAGGCCACAGGCAGGAAGCTGGATGGGAAGTGGAGCAGCTGGGACACAAACTGGCATCTATATGAGATGTTGGCGTGTACAATACAAGTACTTAAGCCCTAGGCTACCAGGCCAGGCCCTAATTTCACTTTTTAACACATTTTTTTGAAGTCCCCTCATAAAAGAACTCATCTTTCCCAGTTTTTGCCAGACATACTCCAGGACATCAGAGGGCTTTTACCTGTCTGGTCAGCATGGAGCCAGAGGATACAGGGGTTAGGAAACTTCAGTGGGCCCCCAAGAGGACCACCACCTTCTTCTGTGTGCTGTCGATGAAGAAATTCACTGTGAGAGATTCCTGTTTCTTCAAACACTTGCAAGCTCCTAAAGTGTTCAAAAGGAGAGGTATGAGAAGCACAGGTGATTCAGGCACATAAGCCATTAGGAATATTTGTATTGAAGTGAAACAAGGATGAAGTTACTCATTATCAGGGCCAGTGCTGTGGTGTAGCCACCATCTCGGTACTGGTTAGATAGTAGCTGCACCACTTCCGACCCAGCTCCCTCCCTACTCATGTGCCTGGGAAAGCAGCAGAGGATGGTCTAAGCACTTGGGACTCTGTCACCCACACAGAGACCAGTAAGAAGCTACTGGCTCCTTGCTTCAGACTAGCCCAACTGTAGCTGTAAGAAGGAAGGAAGGGCAGGAGGGAAGGAGAGAAAGAGAGAAAGAGAGAGGAAGGGATAAAGAGAGAAACGAAAAAAGAAACTTCATTGTCACTTTTATTGCCTAAGGTCCCAAAGACATGCATGTCCAGGGTTACTGCGCTCTTAGTTTTCTTCTGAAAGGAACTAAAGAAAATGTTGGGTAAAATAAAAACATTATTCTTGTAAACATATATAAATCTTCCTGAAAACAGTTAAATACGTTCAGAAACTGGCTGCTTCTACACAAACAGAATTTTCAGGTAAGCAGTTAAAAGAGCTTGTTTGGGACACTTTGTTAGAAGCCAACAAGCCTGGGCTCGCTGGCGTGCCTTTCCCACAGTAGAAAAGTATGTTGCATATCCAGCTCCTCAACTTTCTTTTTAAATATGTCTAAAATTAATGAAGAATATTTCTGACCAATCCACTGCTCTACTGGCTCATGATCACCGAGGAAAGAACTCACCCACTTACTCCTAAGCCACAATCTACTTCTGTCGCTATCTACTATATTAAACAGCCCCAGGTAATTTAATGCCCAAATCTATACTTCACCACTCTGGGTGATTGCAACTTATCAGCTGGAAAGTTGATCTTTCTCTTCCTGACCCAATTCTACTTCCTGAAACCCTAACACAGGAGTAGAGACCCCTTGTCTTTCAGTATCACTGGTCACTCAAAGAGGATCTATGAGAAAAAAAAAATACAATAGTGGCTATCTCACTCATCTGGGGGTTACAATACAGCCTCAAACCCAAAGGAAAACAGAAAAGGCCTTCTAATCTTCTCCACTGCTTGGATCCTCCCGCCTCTCACTAAAGACACCACTCTCAAGCACTGCAGTTCATTTACATGCATCAAAACAAGGAGAGGGAATAAGAAAAAAAAAATCAAGTAGGAAAAGGAGAGAGAATAACACCAGACCAAGCTCTGGCATCCTGTCATAATACAAAAATAAAGAAATTCTTCAAAGAGTTTTTGAAGGTTTCTAGTAAATTGTTTCAGATAAAATGCCTGGCGGGGTAAGGGGAGCAGCAATATGGCTAAATCCTCACCTTGCATGCGCCAGGATCCCATATGGGTACCAGTTCCTGTCCTGGCCGCTCCATTCCCATTCAGCTCCCTGTTTATGGCCTGGGAAAACAGTGGAGGATGGCTCAAAGCAGTGGGACCCTCACCCACTAGGGGGATCCAGAAGAAATTTCTGGCTCCTGGCTCTGGATCAGCTCAGCTTCAGCCATTGTGGCCATTTGGGAAGCAAACCAGCAGATGTAAGATCCTTCTCTCTGTCTCTTTCTGTAGACCTGATATGCTTCTCCAGTAAAAATAAACAAATCTCTCTCTCTCTCTTTTTTTTCAATGCTGAATGCTATAAAAAGCATAATCTGTATTAGTCTAGAGTATGCATTCTTTTACTAAGTTTGGGGTCTCTTGTAAAAGAGCTAACAAAAAAAAAAAAAAAAAAAAGCCGAGACAATGGTGTATGGTCCTCCAAAGCATAGCCCTACCTGAAAAGACTGCACTCTTTAGTACTTTAGTACTACATTTTATTGGGAAATGATGGGGAAAAAGGGTTAAGGAAAAAAGGATCTAGGAAATTCATCTGAATGGAATACTTTACAACCTCTATCAATAATATATGTTACAACATTTATCCTGTACAATCGTCCATACAGCAGGTTCTTAAGACGCTTTGCTATGTCAGATGTGGTCTCACTTCCAATACTGCAGAAAACCAAAATTAACATGAGGCTGCAATGTCAAAACAACCTAAGCAAACATGACCTGATGAGTTCATTCATTACCTCTCAGCCTTACAAGAAAATCTCCATGTGCAAAGGGGAGCTGATCTATGAGACAGTTTATAAAATCCACCTCCCACTGGGAAAGCTGCTGGGGCAGAACTAAGCATTGCACAACCAATTATGAAACCCAAATCACAATGTAAACGGACTGTGTGCCAGAGAAATTTATATGAAAACTGTTATACAAGCAAAGATCAAACAGAAAATGAAGCAAGATTACATAGGCCCTAGGGTAAAAGCTATATTGTACTATGCATTTAAAAAGTAACAACAAAGTAGGGTGCAACTATTTATGGAGAGAGTTGGACTCAGGGCCTCCCAACCTGCTGAGCCAGAACAACATATCAATCTCCTCTAACTGCTATTACCAAAGCTCTCTCATTAACCAGGCACACAGAAGAGCTGTTGGCCCCCAACTCTAATGGAATCCAGGGTCAGTGCTCCAGGGTTTTCTTACCTGGCCACTTTACGCTTGTCATGTGGGTGCAGCTTGGCGGCCATTTCTGGGTCCACCTGGCTTAGGCGCTTATGTAGTTCATGGCTATCCTCCTTTTCAAGCTCTAGTTTCCGGTCCACTGTGTTCTCACTGCCCATTTCCTGGGGCTATGAAATGAAGGTTTAGAAGTAAACTTAACTCAGTGAACACTAAGACAGTATGTATGCACCCAGCCGTCTGCTAACGCTTGGGAATACAGAAGAGAGGTGAATCAGACAATCTTGTCATACAGCGAGACATAATCATAAACAACAAATTCCAATATGCTGTGGTAAGTGCTGTGAGGCCACAGCAAACAAAGAGGAAGGAGGATTTACTGAATGGGGAAGTATTCAGCTTCTCTGCTTCCTTCTCAGAAACACAAACAGGTAGTGGAGCCACCACACCTATTTGAACATTTCCAAGAGTCTGGTCTTCTCAGCAAGGTGAACAAAGAGCGGGGCATAGGTGCCGCCACCTTCCCGGTTGCAAAGGTTCACCCTCCGCAGGCACACAGGGTCAGTGCTGGCCTCCTCCCTGACATATGCTTTGTGCTGCCAGCCAAGAAACGCTGAATCAGACTAAAGCACTGTTCGCTCACGGAGGGATGCTAATTAAGCCACACAGGAGCACTTTCCCACACACAGCCCCTGCCCTGAGGCCAGCTGGAGGGAGCGCAGTTCACATACATACGGAGGTGGCATTTGCCTCAGAATCCTAAGTGGGAAAATTACAGTTGCTGAGTATAAGAAATAGGTAAGAACCAACCCTCCTCTCACTAAAATTTACTAGCTAGAAAGAGGAAACAACCACTCCTTAGTGTTACAAAAAAAAATTAAACATACCTTGGTACTGACAAGAACTTTCCAGAGCAGAGACTCGATGTAGTAATTGGTTCCTCCCACGACAATAGGAATTTTGTTTCGGGAAAATATATCTTCAATGTGAACATTAAGAAAGACATCACGGTATTGAATATCAAGAAGAGGATCCAGACCCTTAGTCAAATAGAGTAATAATCAGAATTTATTTGTCCATAGAGCAAAGGAGAAAGGGCGGACACAAAAATCAACTGATATCAGCCTTCAATATTTCTCCTAAGTTCTCAGAATCATTTCCAGTTCTGGATTTACATAAATTACAGTCAAATGCATAATGGTAATTGCTCCCAGTTCTAGAACTTTCTAGATGTTTCTCCTAAGTTTCAAAGTTTTATGGGCATTCCAAATCAATGTAATAAGTCCAAGCCCAAGGATGCTCACAGAACCAAGCGTCAGTGCTTAGGAAGCCAAGAAGGTGATATTCATGGCTTAACTCCACCTGCTAAGGCAAAACACAAGCAGTTTTCTCTAAGTGATTGCTCTCGGACCACCATTATGTGTTAACAGTGCACATGTTAGTCACTTGAGCCTTCACTGGAAAGACAGAAGTACAGGTTCTGAAGAGACGGGCTGCAACTTCCCGGCCCAGCATTACAAGTTACTCAATCTGCCTGAGCTTCAATTTTTCTGCTCTAAAATCCCCATGGGTTCTCACGGGCATTAAATATGACAATGTGTAAAAAGCCCCTGTCACAATGCCTGAAAAATGGTACTAGCTATTCAATTCATCACTATTGTTTTGATGGCTCTGTTACTTTGAATTCTACTCTTCAGAATCTGTTGATGAAATGATTATCTGCTTTAACAAGGGCTTTGCTTCAAATAATTGACCTTAAAAAAATACTTCCAATACTTAGACAAAAAGCTATGTACTGTGGCTTAGCAGGTTAAGTCAAACCTTGCAACACTGACATCCCGATCAGTGTCAGTTCAAGTTCCAGCCTCTAAGGCACCTGGGAAAGCAGCAGAAGATGGCTCACATACTTGGACCCCTCTCACCCATGAGGGAGATGAGAATGGAGTTTCTAGCCCTGAGCTGCCTAGTTCCGGCTGCTGCAGCTATCTGAGGAGTAAACTGGCAGATAAATCATCTCTGTAAATTTGTCTTTGGAATAAATTAAAAAAAAAATTTATACATTTCTCCTTGCCAATCAATCTGTGGGCACTGAGACAGATGTCTTTTCTATAAAAGAAGGAAACCCTCCCTAATCCTTAAGGCATTTGGGTAGGGTGGGAAAAAAGGTGCCTCCAATCAAAGTTCATTAAAAAAAAAACAGGCCCAGTCCAGTGACCTAGCAGCTAAAGTCACCCCTCGAACACACCAGGATCCCATATGGGCACTGGTTCTAATCCCAGCAGCCCTGTTTCCCATCCAGATCCCTGCTTGTGGCCTGGAAAAGCAGTCGAGGACAGCCCAAAGCCTTGGGACTCTGCACCCACATGGGAGACCTGGGGGAAGTTTCTGGCTCCTAGCTTTGGATTGGCTCAGCTCCTGCTGTTGTGGCCCCTTGGGGAATGAACTATTGGATGGAAGATTTTCCTCTCTGTCTCTTCTCCTCTCTGTATATCTGACTTTGCAATAAAAATAAATAAATCTTTAAAAATAAATAAATAAAATAAATTTTAAAATTAAAAAAAAAAAGAAACCTTCTTAAAATATGACTGCTTGTTTTTGTTTTGATTTATTTGAAAGCCAGAGAGAGTTCCATCTGCTGGTTTTCTTCTCAGCCACCTGCCACAGCTCCTGGCTAGGGCCAAAGCTGGGAACTAAGAACTCAATCCATGTTTCCCCCCTAGGAGCCACATTAACAGAAAGCAAGGGTCAAGAGCCAGGCCCAGCAATCAAACCTAGCATTTTGATCCAAGATACAGACATCTTAACTGCCATGGTAAATACCCTACTTGTTCTAAAAAGATAAACAGTCTCAATATCCCCCTTAAATTATGTATAGGAAACACATAAATTACACAGTAAAACAAAACTTCAATTATATAAGATGATTAACAAAGGGAAAAGGAACAAGTGGAAAAGAGGAAGGGGGAAATGGTGAGATAGCAGAAGAGGGGAAGAGCAAAAAGAGGGAAGGAGATGTGATAGGAGGGACTGGATGGGCCAAGGCTGATCTTGTTGGCCCAAGCCTTGACACATCTGGGATCTTGGGCAAAAACCCCTTTCCCTGGGAGATCAGGAAGGCAAGCTGAATACTTCTGAAGGCACTTTCAGTCTGATAATTGGGCTTCATATTTTTTTAAAAAACAGAAGAATCTTCTAACTGTTACATCATCTGATTAAGTCATCTCTTGCTGTTTTCCGTTGAAAATCTTAGCCCTTCATTTTATATCAGTTCTTTCTGAACCACCCAGCGTCATATCAATAGCTGACATTTGGTCAGTGTGCAAAGGGCTTTCACAAACATTATCTTATTCGGTATCTCAGTCTTATAGAGCAAACAGAGAGGGCAAAAAGCATTATTACATTATTTGATTTGCATGCTCCTGTTTAACAGAAAGGATAAACCTTATCTAGCAGCTCCACTTCTAATCCAGCTCCCTGCTAACCACCTAAGAAAGAGGAGAGGATGGTCGAAGTACTGGGGCCCCTGTTCCCACATGATAGACCCAGAGAAAGCTCTTGGCTCCTGGTTCAGCCTGGCCAAGCTTTGGCTGTTGCAGCTATTTGAAACCAGCAGATAGAAGACCTCTCTCTCCCTGAATGTAATTCTTCCTTCAAAATAAATACTTTAATTTTTTTACTTATTTGAAAGAGTGAAGAATGGAAAAGAGAGACAGAGATCTCCCATTGCCTAGTTCATTCCCCAAACCCCTCCAACAACTGTGGCAACCAAAGCTAGGAATCCAGAACTTATTTCTGTCTACCAAGTGAGGAGCCCACCTGTTGCCTCCCAGAGCCTGCACTGGCAAGAAGCTGGAGTCAGGAGAGTAACCAGGACTCGAATCCAGGCACTCTGATGTGGGATACAGACAACTCAAGAGGTGTCAACCTCTGGCAAACCCTATTCTCTTGCAATTTTTTTTATTGATTCATAACAGTTCTTCGTACTGAAGAATATTACTATATGCCTCTGCTATGATACAAGTATTTTCTCCAATGTTTGTAAACTATGCATACATTTTGTTTGTAGTGGGCTCTTTTCCTTCATTTTTAAGTCATAGCATATTTCCATATACAAAAGAACATGTAATGGCTGTAAATTATGAAGACTTAACAAGAAACACTCACGGACCTATTCTAAGAACTGAATGTCATCTGCTCCCCTGAAGCCTCCTGTGTGTTCATTCCTATCCCAACCCCTACTTCCCGTCTCAAAGCAATCACCATCCAGAACCCGCTTTTGGATCTTGATTTGTTTTTTAACATTCCTCACATGCCTTTATAGTGTTACTGATACATACATATTCCTACACAATACACTGGCTAGCTGCCTTTTAACCTTTGTAGTAACATACAATGGCAAAAACAAGTGTGCATCCTTCTGCGATTTCCCACATATCTCATTGTTTCTAAGATCATTCCACACTGATTGTGACAGGTAACTGCAATTTATTCATTTTCATGTTAAAAACTACCTAACTTACATGAACAAACCAAGCTGCACACATTTTTCAAGTACATATACAATGCTACAAATCCTACAAATAGGATCAAAGCTCTCCTGATAAACTTATAGACCTGTAGCAAGAGTTTCTCTGAGGTGTACACCTACAAATTTTGGTGGACACACACACGACTTCCTAATTCAAAGTCTTAATTCTTGGACCCAGCGGTGGCCTAGTGGCTAAAGTCCTTACCTTCAACACTCTGGGATCCCATATGGGCACCGGTTCTAATCCCGGCAGCTCCACTTCCCATCCAGCTCCCTGCCTGTGGCCTGGGAAAACACTCGAGGACGGCCCAAAGTCTTGGGACCCTGCACCCACATGGGAGACCTGGAGGAAGTTCCTGCACAGCACTGGCCGTTGCAGTCACTTGGGGAGTGAATCATTGGATGGAAGATCTTCCTCTGTCTCTTCTCTGTATATCTGACTTTGTGATAAAAAAAAATCAATAAATCTTTAAAAAAAAGTCTTAATTCTTATATATTGAAATTTAGATCTTTCCTTTACAAAAGAAGGGGGGATTTATTTTTATTTGAAAGGCAGATTTTACAGAGAGAAGGAAATATACAGAGATAAGGTTCTCTATCTACTAGTTCACTCCCCAAACAGCTGCCATGGAGTTGAACCGATCCAAACCAAAGCCAAGGAGCCAGGAGCTTCTTTCTGGGTCTCCCACACGGGTAGAGGAGGGCCATCCTCTGCTGCTTTCCCAGGTGGTAAGCAGAGAGCTGGATCAGAAATGGTGCAGCTGGAACACAAACTGGTGCCCATATGGGATGCTAGCAAGAGAGAGAAGGATTAGCCTGCTGCACCAATGTGATGGCCCCTGCTATTTTCCTTTACAAAACAAAACAAAACAAAAAACCCAGTTGCTCTGAGGGGTTGGTGTTGTGATACACCAAGTCAAGCTGTTACATGCCACAATTGAAAATCCTGGATGCTCTGCTCATGATTCACCTCCTTGCTAACGCACCGGGAAAGCAGTGAAGATGGACCAAGTGTTCTGGTTCCTGCCACCCATGTCGAAACCTGGATGGAGTTCCTGGCTCCTGGCTCCTGACCCAATCCTAGCTGCTGTGTCCATCTGGGGAACAGAGTGACTTTCTCTCTCCCTTGCTCTGCCTTTCAAATAAATAATCTTAAAAAAAAAAAAAAAGTTACTACAGGGTGCAAATAGTAGTACTATGGGTTAAGCTGCTACTTGGGACCCTTGTATCCTATATCAAGTCCTGCCTTCACTTCTGATCCAGTTTCCTGCTAATGCACCAGGGAAGGATACAGATGATGGTCTAAGAGCTCTCACGTGGGAGACTAGCATGAAATTCCTGGCTGCTAGCTTCAGTATAGCTCAGATCTGGCAGTTCTGGCCATTTGAGGAATAAACTAACATACAGAAGATCTGTCTTTCCCTCACTCTTTGTTGCTCTACCTCTCAAAGGAATCATTCTTGTAATTACTCATGCAATCATATATTCTCTAATTTGTTCTGAAGTTTCATTATATACATTTAATTTCAAATCCATCTGGGGCTTATTATATGTACATAATGCATCATATACAATTTAAGCCTAATTTAAAATTTTTCCAAAACAATTAATTGCCCCAGGAACAATTATTAATTACTTCACTATTTTTTTTTTTGTTTTGAAATGCTACCTTGATCCTAACATAAATATATACAGATATTAGAATACATATCTGGGTTTTCTATCCTGTACCACAAATTTATCTAGTATTATATATGCTGCATGCTATTTTTACTATGACTTTTTAATATGCTTCAGTATCTGGCAGTCCAGATATAAAAGCAGTGTGGATATTAAATGTAAGGGTAGTAATTAATTCACAGGGTTCAAAGAGGCAGTCCTAGGACTGGAATAGATTTTCTGATCCCTAAGTCAGCATCTGTTTTACTGAAATAGTGTTTCTCAGAGTCTAATGTATGTATAAACCATGCAGGCCTCTGGTTATAATACGTACCCAAGGTTCAATATTTCTAATAAGTTCCAAAGGGATGATGCAGCTGTCAAGACTTTAAGGACACAGTATCCATCATCCTAAAGTTGTATTTTTTGTTTAGTTAGAAAACTTATTTATTTATTTTAAAGTCAGAGTCATAAAGATAGATTTTTCCATTCACTGCTTCCGTTCCCAAAGGGCCACAATGGCCAGAACTGGGCCAGTTTCGAAACCAGAAGCCAGGAGTTTTTTCAGGGTTTCCCATTTGGGTGAAAAGACCCAGTATTTAGACCATCCTCTGTTGCTTTGCCAGGCACATTATCAGGGAGCTGGATTGCAAGTGGAGCAGCTGGGACATGACGTGGTGTTCTTATGTGATGTAGATCTGAGGACTCTGGCCTATGGAAGATGTTACCTATTGTTGATTAGGTCTAGGGCATCCACACTTAGAACAAATTACTGGAGATGGGGGGCTGTGCTGTGTGCAGGCTTATTCTCTGCCTGCAATTACAGCTTCCCACAGGGCTGCTGATTAGAGTTTCAGATGCTCTACTTATGATCCAAGTCCCTGCTTACGGACTGGGAAAGCAGCAAAGAATAACAACCCAAATCCTTGGATTCTGCACCCATGTGAGAGAGCCAGAAGAAGGTCTTGGCTCCTGACTCGGGACTGGCTAAGCTCTGGCCCTTGCGGCCTTTTGGGGAGTGAACCAGCAGATGGAAGATCTCTCTCTCTCCTCTCTGTACACCTGCCTTTCTAAACAAACAAACAAACAAATAAGTAAGTAAATACATTTTTAAAAAAGAAATTACTGGGGTCAGCAATGTGGCACCACAGGTCGACCAGCTGCCGACAATGCTGGCACCCAATATGAACACCAGTTTGAATTCCAGCTGTCCTACTTCTAATCCAGTTCCCTGTTAACAAGTCTGGGAAAACAGCAGAAAATGGCTCAAGCCCTTGTACCCAAGTGGGAAACCCAGATGAAGTTTCTGGCTCCTGGTTTCAGCCTGGCCCAGCTGGGGTCATTTAGTGAGTGAACCAGATGGAAGTTTTTTCTTAATTTCTTTTTCTGTAACTGTTTTTCAGATAAAATAACATAAATCTTTCAAAAGAAGAAGGGAAGAGAAAGAAGAAAAAGAAGAACAAAAGAGAAATTGCCACTAGAAACAAAACTTCCTTTTTTGGCATGGGCCGCTCTGTACACATCAGGCCCGGTTAGTGTATTTCTGAAGGATATCAGAGATGTTGCTCTGTTCCTGAAGTCCACCACCGTGTAATTGGTCACGAGAGGATCTACAAAGCTAATCATGTGATGCTGGCACATCTTCTGTTCTTGGGCAGAAACCTTGTTGGTGATGATGTCCAAGCCATCATAGACCTGCAGGAGAAGAAAATCCACAAAACCATACAAAGCAAAAAGAAAACAGAGCATTGACTTTATCACATAAAGTTTGTTAGCTCAGACTTAAAGAAGGGTTTGCAAACTCACGCCAAATAAGAACTAATTCTTTAACATTAAAATGAGGCTCTACAGGACTGAGCTGTAAGCATTTTCAAAATGGGCAGGATGTCTTATTTATTCTCCTTATCACAACTCTCTAGAAAAGTAAGATTCAGCATTGCTCAGGGTTCTAAACGCTTAGATATTCTTGGATTTAACTGACTCTAAAAAGTTTTTAGAATTTGTGTAAGATTGGTTCCATTTGTGGAGAAGTGGCCAACCTACAAAGACACATATATAAAATGCACACATACTCACTTTGAAGTCAGAACCCCTAATATTGCTGCTGTACTCCAGTGGAAACATTGTGATCTATCCAAATTACTGCTTCAGGGGGTCAACACATACAGTCTAAATATGCAAGAGCAATATCCTGTCTGTAAGCTCTTGATCTGCCAATTCAACTAAAAAGTTCAAGTGTACTTTTTCTAAATGCACGGTCTCAGATGGAGAACAGATCTGAAAACACTGGTTTGAAAATAGGGATGAATGCTTTGGGATTAAATGTTCTCTCTGTAATCACTGATTCTACAGGGAGCACTGAATGAACAAATAATAAGTTCCGTAGAGCCCACAAAGATGTTAAAAGCATTTTTTATCTCATGTTTCCCTTTACTTATATGGGTGTCAAATAAGTACAGCACAGTGTAACAGTTAGAAGGAAAAACCCTGGCGCCAGGCTGCCTCAAATCAATTCCAAGTTCTGCTACTCGTTCCTGGAATACTCTGGTAGGAACCTCTGCATCTCGGGCCCAGCACAACAGCTCAATTGGCTAGTCTTTCCCCTTGCAAATGCTGGGATCTCATATGGACACTGGTTCATCTCCCACCTGCTCCACTTCTCATCCAGCTCCCTGCTTATGGCCTGGAAGAACAGCAGAGGATGGCCCAAGTCCTTGGGACCCTGAACCCACCTGTGAGACCTGGAAGAAGCTTCTGGCTACTAGCTTCAAATCAGCTCAACTTCAGCCACTGTGGCCATTTGGGGAGTAAACCAGTGGATGGAAGAGCTTTCTTTCTTCCTTCTCTCTGTAAATCTGCCTTTCCAATTAAAATAAAATCTGTTTTTTTTAAAAGGAACCTCTCTGTCTCAAGTCTTCATAAGTAAAATGGGAATAACAGGATTGTCACAAAATTAAATGAGGCAATCAGTATAAAAGCACTTTTTTGGTTTTGCCTGGCATACTTCAAGTGCTATAAAAAAGTCATTATATCACTCTCCACATGAATACGACTATCACAGTTACCACGACAATCAGGACAAAAAATAATAAGTTCAGTGTCACTGCTTTACAATCTGAAGTTTCTGTGCTCTTGGCTACTAAGATTAGTTACCTTGCGAAGACATAAGCTATATTCAAATAAATATAACTGCTAAGTAACAAAACAGTACACAGAAAAAATAACAATAAATAGAACCATATGGCTCCGCCTTTTAAGCTACATCTGTGTCTAACAACAGAACTTTGTTTTTCAAAAAGATTCACTTATTTTTACTTGAAAAGCAGATTTACAGAAGAGGAGAGACAAAAAGATTTTTCAACTGCTGCTTCACTCCCCAAATGGCCTCAAAGGCTAGAGCTCAACCAATCCAAAGCCAGGAGCTTCTCCAGGTCTTCCAGGAGAGCGCAGTGTCCCAAGGACTTGGGCCATCCTCTGCTGTCCTCCCAGTGTATAAGCAAGGAGTGGAATTGGAAGTGGAGCAGCTGCGACACAAACCACAGGAGCCCATATGGGATGCTGGAGCGTGAAGGTGGAGGATTAAGACTGTTGAGCCACACACCAATCCCTAGAACTATAGACAGAATCTGGCCTTGCAAGCATCAGGATCCCATGAAGGCACCAGTCCCTGTCTGGGCTGCTCCCGTTCTCACCCAGCTCCCTGCTGTGGTCTGGGAAAGCATCAGAGAATGGTCCAAAGCCTTGGGACCCTGCACCCGTGTAGGAGGTCCAGAAAAGTTCCTGGTTCCTGGCTCAGTTCTGGCCGTTGTGGCCACTTAGGGAGTGAACCAGGGGATGGAAATCTTTCTCTCTGTCTCTCCTTCTCTCTGTAAATCTGCCTTAAAAAAAAACTGGAATCTAAGATACAGTGTCTCCTTTTCCTGTTCTGCTGATGAAACTCATAGGACACATTACACAGTGATGTCTTCCATCATGCAACTTCAGAAAACTAACAGAAGAAAAGGAATTAATAATTAGGTGTTGCCCTCTCTCTTTTCCTACCACCCCTTAACTGGCTCTGCAATTGTTTAGGATTCCAAATGACCCAGTATTAAAGAGCTTACATAGCAACAACTAGATTTTACCAATGGAATTTCTAAAATGTGGTAAGTTCTTTACAGTAAAAGGGATTCTTATATTTTCACACTGAGATTAATTTTAAAGAAATGCATAGCACCAAATATATAATGCCCACCAATGGCAGGATTCCCTGCAGCTCCCATTGGTGAGCATAAGAACCAGGCCTGGGAAGGCCCAGGTTGATCAAGGCGGCAGCACCCATAGACATAAATGTGGGCTGGGTCTGGAGGCAGGTCAGTCTGTGCTAAGCTGTAGCACTCACGGGTGTGCACAAAAGCTAGATGGGATGCAATATGGACCAGATTAAGCCACAACACATGGGCCCGGCACGGTGGCATAGTGGTTAAGGTCCTCGTCTTGCACGCTGGGATCCCATATGGGCGCCGGTTCTAATCCCAGCGGCCCCGCTTCCTTTCCAGCTCCCTGCCTGTAGCCTGGGAGAGCAGTCGAGGACGGCCCAAAGCTTTGGGAACCTGCACCCGCGTGGGAGACCCAGAAGAGGCTCCTGGCTTTGGATCGGCTATCAGCCATTGCGCTCACTTGGGGAGTGAATCATCGGACGGAAGATCTTCCTCTCTGTTTCTCCTCTCTGTATATCCGCCTTTCCAATAAAAAAAATTTAAAAATAGAAAAAAAAAGACACAACACATGCCAGTACATGTAAAACATGGAGTGTAGGTGGGCCTGGTGGGAGTTACTGGGGGGTTGCCCCAACTAGGCCATGGCACCTGCTTGTGTGAATGAAGACCATGCCTGTGGTGGGTTGGGCTGGGCTAGGCCACAATGTCTGTCAATTCACATGAGAGTTGGGGCTGGTGGAGGAACTGACCATACATTTCTACTGCTATGTGCATTGACTGGAGCGGGTAATGGACTAAACTCGACCCTGCACAAGAGTCAAGTCTGATGTCACCTCAGACAAGACTGTTTGGAGGACTCATATGCCAGCCACAGGGAAAAATCACAAAATGTAATGGTCCAACCTTGGAGTGCATGTACCAGGATTGGGCCTCTTCAGTTACTGAAGCCTGGTGGTGAACAGCAGGCCCAGATGCACACAGGGGACATGACAGCCAGCTCACCTATGCCAGCAGAGGACATCAAGTTCCTCCGTAGAGGATGGAAAGCAGAACAGGTTGGACAACTCTCCTGGATAAGCTTTCTAACAAGCGTCTGAGTCTATGCATGCACACTGAGGTGGACTTGGTTGGCCAATAAACCTTGGAAAGATTTTTCAATCCTGGGGCAATGAAGCGGACCATGTTTCAAACTATCAAAACCCCTAGGGAAGCACCCTCGGAATGTGAGACCCCATATTGGGGTCTCTTACATGTCCTGATTAGGTTAACAAAGAAACAATTTCCTCCCCTCCCGCCAATCCCCACCCTAGCCAGGCAAATAAACAAAAAAGCACGGGAAAAGAAAAAGTGGAAATATTTCTACCAGCACATTCTATCAGTGATGCAAAATGACTAGATAATGTCATCCTGACATTTGCTTTTAGATGTGTATTCTAGAGGCTCTTAAGATGATAAATTTCAGAGCCGGTGTAATGGTTTACCAGCTTAATCCTTCAACTCCAAGCACTGGCTTCCCATATGGGCAACCAGCTCATGCCCCAGCTGTTCCACTTTCCATCCAGCTCCCTGATTGTGGCCTGGGAAAGCAACTGAAAATGGCCCAAGTTCTTGGGACCCTGCATCCATGTGGAAAACCAGGAAGAGACTCGTGGCTCCTCAGCTCTAGTTGTTGTACCCATTTGGAAAGTTAATCAGCAGATGGAAGACCTTTGTCACTCCTTCTCTATAAATCTTCCTTTCAAAAAATAAATAAATCTTTTTTTAAAAAAACACAAATTTTAACAAACAAATAAGGCACAAATAGAATTCAGACAAAGGAAGCCTAGAACTAAGCTCACCTTATTACAAAAGTTTCCTACTATACTGATTTTAATATATAAAAATGCCAGCAAATACTACAAGAGTACTAATGATTTAAAGAAAGTAAAATCAGGCCCAGCTTCGTGACCCAGCAGGCTAACTCACTACTCAAGATGCAAGCAGCCTGTATCTGAACACCAAGTGGTATCCCACTGTTCTGCTTCAAGCCAGCTTTCTGCTAATTCAACTGGGAAAGTAATGGTGAAAGATGGCCCTGGCACTTGAGCCAGCACCAGCAAACCTGAAGCAGGCACCCCAATATCGAATGTAGCCATCTTACGTGGGACATAGGAACCCCAAGTTGCACCTTAAACACTGATCATTTATTGAGCTGTCCAGTTATAAATTACATGTTTAGGTATGGATTAGTTTATTAGTTACAATCATACTGAATTCAGAACCAGGCACTGTGGGACAGTGGGTTAAGCAACAAGGGAACCTGCCTCCTAGGTTTGTTCCTTTCCCCTAAAGTTATCTTCCCCTTTTTTATTTCATTTCCTTCTCATTTAAAAATAGATTTTGAAAAGTCTCTACATTTGGCCCTTTATATGTTACACCTGCCTTGAAAATCACAGCTTTGGGAGCTGGCACAGTGATGCAGCAAGCTAATCCTCCACCTGCTCGTTTCAGTATTCC